TTCTCTGCCCCACCCCTGCCCACACTGGACAGCCCGTTCTGGCCGTCATTTGGGTTCCGGAGAGGCTTTTACCCCGAGGGGACACAAAGGGGCGTGTTACCCTGGGGGGAACTGAGGGGACTGTTGTTCCTTAGGGGCCAAAGGGAGTTGTTTCCATGGGGGGCAGAAAGGGGGTTATTGTCCTGAGGGGTCACAAATGGAGTTGTTACCCGAGAGGACACAAAGGGGGTTGTTACCCTGAGGGGGCACAAAGGGGATTGTTGCCCAGAGGGGACACTAAGGGGGGTGTTGTTCCAGGGGGGTACAAAGGACAAAGAGGGTTGTTTGTATGGGGGGGGCATAAAGGGGGTTGTTGTCCTGGTGGGCACTAAGGGGGTTGTCCAAAGGGGTCACAAAGGGAGTTGTTACCCTGGGGACTGGACACAGAGACAGGGCCCTATACCCTCCTCCTGAGGTCTCTAAGCAAGACTTTGAGATATACTAAACCCTAACTTTTATGAATGGGTTTCCTCAAACCATCCTGTCAGTCACTGCAGTGAAGTTCCAGGGTCTGTCAGCAGTGCCTGTGAAATGGGCCAAAAGTCTATGCAGGACTTGGAAGTAACTTCCCCCACCAGTTGGCTGGGATATGACAGCATTGTGGAAACTGGTTCCTGGAGATGATCAAAGACATGAGTTGCTAGAAATCTTCTAGAGAGATCTCTTCTTCTGAACCTTCCTTGCAGTGCTTTTTCATCTCTCTCCACGCTCTGTAGGCCTCTTCTGGTGTACCCCCGACAAAGGAAGTTGATAGATTATGAACAGAGGTGAGCTGCGCTTTTTGGGTGGGGTTTTCGGTTGTGGTGTTACTTCTTTTGAAATCTGGCAGATGCTTTTCCTATATTTCTTGTCATGTTGATGATTTTTATTTTCCTTGGCTGCATTTTGGATTCCACGGGCTTTTCTTAATGCTCCTTCTGCTCTTACAGTAGTAGATGACTATAACTAATCCTGAGGTACTTACAACTATGGGTAAAGATGCAAATGTTCAGTGCAAAGCAGGAGGTGCAAGGGCTCAGGAAGGCCAGGCTGTCCTTCAGAGGAAGAGCAAGCCAAGAGTGGCAGCCAGCCTGGCAGGGTGCGTGACCTCCCAGGCCAGAGAGCCCTCCCACAGCCCCTGAGCCAGAAGAGCAGAACAGGTCCAATGACAGCAAGCGGGGTCAGTCAAGAGTGCAGATCCCCCAGCTGGGCCTCAGGGAGGGGCAGCTCTGCCGGCCTGGCAGGACATCACATCCCTGGGCTGAGAGCAGTGGGGCCCAGCTCAGGCCTGGCTGCAACTTGAGGGAGGTTGTGACAGCGTCACCTGGGACTGACATGAATTCCTTCCCTGGCAGAGAGGGGAGGAACACCCCTGCTGTGACTCACAGGGCACGATCAACCCCTGGGCCCTGTCCCAGGCACGAGATGAGCAGGAGGCACTGGGCGTTTTGCTTTTCTCAACAGAGCTGTTGCTGCCTGGGGCACACTGAGCAGAGGGGCCTCCCAGGGAAAAACCTGTCCCTTATTGCTCCCGGGGAGCTGTTTCAGCCCATCTGGTGGCGGGGACCCAGCAGGGCTGTTCCCAGCAATGTTTTTCAGGCGGCTCTGCCTGTTCAGCAGGGCTGGGCAACCTTTGATCTCCTCTCTACTCGTTACTGGGACTCGCTGCTGAAGTGGCTGTGTCAGAGCGACGCTGGAGTTGGAAGGCATCGCTTTAGAATCGCTTCCTGCCTTTGCAGCCATTCCTTTGGAGTCCAGAAACTGGAAGCATTTTTGCCTGAGAAACTCAGGAGGGATGGGAACATGAGCAATCCTATCACAAATGATGGGAAAGCTGTTCTTGCTGGAAAAGAAGAACCTGCTTGCACTTTCTTTCTCATACTGAACCAACAGATGATGAATACAACCTCCCTGATCACCCCTTTTGGGGTTTTCACACAATTCACTGCCTTTAGGTCACCCTGAGTTCCTTTTTTTTCTTTCTTTCTGCAGGTTGGTGAACTTTCCCAGCAACTGGACAAGGAATCTAAAAAATGCGTGCAGCTGGAAGCCCAAAATCAGGATTTGCAAGAAGAGCTGTCCACTCTGCTTGGGAAGTGTGAAAACTTGGAGATGGACAAATGCCAGCTGCAAGAAGAGCTGGCAAAACTCCAGCATCGTTTACAGACTAACGTGGTGGATCTCTCCCAAGTAGAACAATGTAAAAGAGATGTGGAAGAACAGTAGACCTCCCTGTTCAGAAGGGTGTTCAGGGCTGTGCCAGGCTGTTCCTTGGCACCTGAGCCCCACGAGAGCAGGAGCAGCAGTGCTGGGCTGCCAGCGCCAGGCAGCTGCCTGCAGGTGACCGTGCTGAGCCTCGGCAGCGTCCGGCTGAGAGCGTGGCACAGGGAGGCACCACAGCCATGGCTCAGGGAAAGCGCCTCGGGCATTTTGCTGCCCCAAGCACACACTGCCAGCCTGGGCTCACCCAGTGATTCCTGTCACCAGCCTGGGATTGCCCTAAACACACCTTAGGACTTGAGCTGGATCACAGTTTCATTGCAGTGTGCCAATAGATAGATTAAATAGATTATAAGATAGATATTAATATATATAATTTTTCTTCAATAAAAGCTTTGATTTCACGCAAATTCCTGTGTGCATATGAACAAAGGGATTCAAATACAAAATGCTGAGATGAAGTCCAGTTCTAAATTTCGAAGGGCATTTTGATTACCTCTAAGCAGGTGACAGCTACTGCAGATATAAGAGCTGTCTTTCCTCTGGTCCTTGTATCTGCTTCAGATAGAAGAATCCTAAAATAGAATGGGTTTCGATGGTTTCTTATATCCTCACCCCCTCTGGTGCCTCCTCGGCAGTCCTTTGGTGCAGCTCTTTCAACCTGGGGCAGCTCTTAGGTTGGTTTTTTTATTATATTTTCCCTCTGTTATTCCATTCCCAGCTCCCATCTGCCTGCCCTCCCATGAGGCTCCTGCAGCACCACCGCTCCTCCCCCAGCCCATGGGGCAGCTCTTGAGTGAAATGGAGCGGCGGGGACCCCTCGGGGCAGTTTTTGATTCTATTGATCCTATTCTCTGTATTCTATTCTGTTCCCACCCCGCGTATCCCTGCGTGCAGCTCTTTCAGACACGGGTGGTGGAGACTCCCCGGTGTGGCTCTTTTAGTGTATTTGACTGTATTGTCACTGTATTTTCCTCTATTCTGCACCCCCCGTCCCGCGGGGCGGCTCCTTCAGTGCCCCGGGCCCCGGGGACCCCTCGGGGTGGCTCCCCCAGGGCCCCGCCCGCCGCCACCGCTGCCCAGGGCCCTCCCCACGTCCTGCCGGGGATCGGACACCACCGGTGCTCCGGCCCTGCTGGGCTTCATTAGCCTGAGAAATGGCTCCTAATGAGGGCCCGGGGGCTCCAGCTTGGCCTTCGTCTCCCTGGTGCTGGGGCTTGGCTTCCACCTGCGCCAGAAGGTAGTGGAAGGAACAGAGAGAAGGGTGGAAAAGGGGGGGTGGTCTGGTGGGTCCGACAGATCATGGGGATCTTTGGGCACAGGGGGTTAGCAGAGGGGGGTGGCCCCCTGAGCTCCCAACTTATTTTGGGGGGCTGGATCCAATCTCAGCCTTGTATTATGCCAACAATTTCAGTTTAGAGGAATAACTGGGGTGGGACTGAACCACTTTTGTCCCTCAGGTTTTAATGATAGTAAATCATATCTATGTATAGAAATGAATTATTTAGGATTACAAATGATCAGACAAAACACTTTCATCAGAATTATTTACTACACAATAGAAACACTAAAACTACCAGTAGTACAGGATTAGATAGGACAGCACTCTACGCTAAATAATTGTTGAAGTAATGCTACTAAAACTGGTACAAAAGCAATAATTATTAATTAGAGATGGATGGAACTCCCCCAGACCAATGCTTGTGGGGAGATCTCTGCTCTCCACCTCGAGCAGTGACCTTGGGGGTCCCCAGCCAAGGCAGGAATCTCCACACACCCCCAAGAAGGGTTCTGTTGGCACAACCTGCCCCTGGCAAAGGGGACTGGCCCTTTCTGGTAGAAAGGGATGGACTGACAGTCACTGGACTCCAGGGGTTCCCTCACCATCAGGATGGTCATTCGGGGTGGAAGCAGCGGCCGAAGTTCTTCCTGCAGTCGGGGCACTCGTAGGGCTTCCGTTACCGGTGGGTCCGTTGGTGTTTGCTCAAGGCAGAGCTGTGGGGGAAGCTCTTCCCACACTCCCCACACTTGTAGGATCTCTCCCCGGTGTGGATGTGCCGGTGTCTGACAAGGGTGCAGTTCACACTGAAGTTCTTCCCGCAGTCAGGGCAGCTGAAGGGCCTCTCCCCCGTGTGCGTCCACTCATGTAGGAGGAGCTGTGAGGTGTCCCTAAACCTCTTCCCACATTCCAAGCACTTGCAGGGCCATTCCCCAGTGTGGACATGCTGGTGCTGGATCAGGTCAGAGATCCGGCTGAAGCTCTTCCCACACTCCCCACACTTGTAGGGCCTCTCCCCGGTGTGGATGCGCCAGTGGGTGACAAGGTGAGAGTTCATTCTGAAGCCCTTCCCGCAGTCGGTGCAGCGGAAGGGCCTCTCCCCCGTGTGCGTCCGCTCATGCAGGAGGAGATTTGTGCTGGTCTGAAATCTTTTCCCACATTCCCTACATGAGTAGGGTCGTGCCCCTGTGTGAATGTGTTGGTGTCGGATCACGCTGGAGCTCTTCCCGAAGCTCTTCCCACATTCCAAGCACCTGAAGGGCTTCTCCCTCCTGGGAGGCTGCACAGGGACCATCAGGCCAGAGCTACAGCTCAAGCTCCGGCCGCCTTCCCGGCACAGGACGGGTCTTTCCTCCTCACAGCTCCCTGAGCTGGCTTTGCAGCCCCTCCTCTGGGGGCATCTCCGGGCCTTTTCCTCCCCGTTGCCTTCCTGCGCCGGGGAGCCCTTCAAAATGGCCTCTCCCACCAGGCTCTGCCGGGGGGATTTGTCGTCTGTGCTCTCCGTCCTCAGCTCGGGGCCTGGGGCAGGAAGGAAGAAGGACAGGCAGGGGATTTGCCTCCAGCCCAGAGGGAAGGTCAAGGACATCCCCCAGATCTGGCCCCAGCAGGACGGTGGTGCCAGTGGGGTTGTCCTGCAGCCGGGGGCGATGCTCGGCTGCCACAGGCACCACAAGACAGGGCCAAAGGGGCACTGACTTCCTCCTCACCTGCCTGGGGGGCCCGCGGCATCTCCCTCTTCCTTGCAGCCTCCTCCTCCATCCACCCAAGCTTTGGGAAGGACAAATCCTGCAGGGGAGGAAAACAAGGGCTGAGCACGTTGGCTTGGGGGTTCCTCCTCCCCAAGTCCACCTCTAGAAATCATCCTGTGTCCATAAAAACCTCCAAAACACCAAATTCAGCTCAGAAAAAACAAAACCCCTCAGAAATAGTGAGATGAATCCCCTTGGAAACTTCAAAAAGTTAAGGTTCAGCCAAAATATGAAGATTAGCCCAAAAAAACTTTCCCAGAAGTTCCCCCTCTCTGATCTCTCCCCTCTGGGCTTTGGAGGGTCTCCCCTGTCTGAGATGTTGGGGGTCCCACTTAGGGATGCTGGGAGTGTTGGGGGTCCCAAGGGTCCCTTCCCCTCTGACTCTCGCCTTTGGGGTGCTGCATTCCCAGACATTTCCCTGGGAAGGGGGAACTCGTCCCAAATAGCCTGGGGGGAGCGCAGGGGTTGTGACATCCTCGGGCTGCGAGCACAGATTTCCCTGCAAGGTCTGCAGGGAGTCAGTCGAGCTCTGGGGAGCAGATTGTGTCCCAGGGATGAGATTGTAGAGGGGCCCTCAGGTCCCCAGGATGAATCAGCAACCAACAATATACACAAAAGACCCCCCCCAAAGGTTTCAGGGGGAGTGTCCTGGAGGGAGGGGACAGTGCCACCCCACGAGGGCAGGGCTGGCAAGTGGGAGGCTGCTCCAGGGGTCTGCAAGAGGCCTCGTGCTCTGCTCGGCCCTATCAGTGGCTGGGACCAACACCCCTGGCTGCCCCAGCCCTGGGCAGGCTCTGCCGCCACAGGCTGTGCCCTCCCCGTGTCCCTGCAATGTCCCTGGCTGTCCCTCAGCTGTGTCCCTGCCCGTGTCCCTGCCTCTTGGCTCTCTGTGCCAGCTGAGTGTGGGGCACATGGGCTGGGGGTCCCTCCCGTGCCCCCTGGGCAGCCGACGTTGGGTGGGGGGATGTGAGGGCTGGGCCTGCTCAGGTCAGTCCCGTCCTCGTGGCCAGCGGCTCTTTCCTGCCCCAGCCAAGAGGTTCCAGGCCCCCCAGAGCTCCCCTGGGGCTGTCTCTGCTCCTCCCTGCAGGCTCCGTGACCGTGCACACTTTGTGTTCCTGGGTGCCCACGATCTCAGCAGCTGCAGCCGCTCCAATCAGCGCCCGCAGCTCTGCAGCAAAGCCCCAGCTCACCTGGCACAGGGGGCATGGAGACAGGACCTTCTCACTGCTGGCCACTCCCAGCTCAGCCTCTTCCCCAGCAAGGGGCTCTCCTGCCTCAGCACCACCTCTGCCTTCCACTTCTTCTCAGGGTCACCTCAGGACCTGCTCTCAAGGACAGGAACCTGCAGGCAGAGGAGATGATGCGGAAGCTGAGGGGTGCCTGCTTGCACTGGCCTGGGGGCTTCTTTCTCCTTCTAGAACCATCCCAGAACTTATCCTGCTTTTCTAACCCCGCATCTTTACAGACTAACCTTGTCTCTCTGTCTGCACAGACACATCTATCCCCTGTGGACAGAGCCTCCAGCATGTGCTGCCCTGGCAATGGCAACCAGAGAATCCCAGAATCAACTGGCTTGGAAAAGACCTCCCAGATCATCAAGTGCCCCCCTTGATCCAACCCCGCTGTGGTTCCCAGACCGGGGCACGGATGCCCAGGGGAGGGGCTTTGGGGATTGGGGCTCTCCCAGTACAGCCCAGGGCCCCCTCAGTGCCCTCCCACTACAGCCCAGTGCCCCCAGCACAGCCCACTGTGTTCCTGTCCCAGGGTGCCGGGTGATCCCTCTTGTGGGGAGGGGGGTTGAATGCAGATTTGGGGGGTTTTGAGGAGCTTTCAGTTTATTTGGGGGAGCTAAAAGGGGTCTTGGGGGCATTGGGGGTGTCAAAGGGATCTGTGGGGAGAGGAGATTAAAGAAAAAAAGGTGGTTAGGGGACATTTGGGAGGGGTTATTGGGGCCTGGGGGAGACAGGAGGGGCAACACCATGAGCAGGTGAGTCCTGAGACCCCCGTGATGTCCCCAAGATGCTCTTGGTGTCCCCAGTTACCCCATGAAACCCTGAGACCCCCCCGGTGTCTCCAATGTCCCCAGGGCCTCTCCATGGCCCCCATTTCCCCCTTAACACACCCAATTCCTCTGTCCCCAAAGTCATCCCTGATGTCCCACCCTTCCATCTCCCTGCAGGAGTCCCCCCCTTGACCCTGTGACCCCAAAAGCGCTCCCCTTTTCCTCCCCCCTCCACCGCTCACAGAAAGGTCAAGGGTATCTGGGGACACGCTGGGGACACTTGGGGGGCTTTGGAGGGCACTGGGTGATTACTGGGGGATACTGGGACACACTGGGAGAACAGGGGGCACTGGGAAGGACTGGGGGGTTACTGAGGGATTATGGGAGGGCAATGGGAGGGACAGGGGGATTGCTGGGGGATTACCAGGACACACTGAGGGACACTGGGAGGTTACTGG